ATTCTCAGATGCCACTTTCACAAAGGCAAAAGCTGAAGGTCCAGAGAGCACCTCTGTCGCAGGAAGTTAGCCGATCTCTGTGTGCAGGTAATCAATGATTTGCATGATCTCATCTGCAACATTAAAACAGGCATCATTAGAATGGACAGATAAATCAAACAAAGAAGAATATTCAATTTACCAATCAGTCTCTCCATCTCTGACATACGGAGACTCTCCCCAGCAGGCAGCGGAGCATCGCCTTGGATAGCCTTGACAACTAAAGGCTGAGGTTGGGAAACTTCCAACAGCGGAATTTGTGTGGCCACCTTAACCAGCTCCTAATCTTGGGGCAGCAACTCAGTCGATCGCTGGCAGAGTGGATCAAGAGCTAGAAAAGATGCATCAATGATGCCCTCTCCAATGTTGCTCCAAACCTCTTGGAGCGGCTGCATGTTGGAAATCTTCGTAATCTCCACTACCCTTTGCTTATTTGTCAATGCCTGTTTCACTAATCTGGACCCCTCAAGCCTAATCCCTTCGGTTGGCCCTTTGGCACCAACTGGTCGACTTTCAATCTCCAGCCTCTTCTCGGTAGGCCAACCCTCTACTGTTGATTTCTTCTTCGTGGGAGATTGAGAATTCTCTGGTTTCCTCTTTTTCTCGACCACGAAGGTAGAATCTTTGAGGTTGGAAGCCCTAAGCCCCTCACCAACGCCTCCTCGTTCACAGTTTCTTGGAGCCTAACATCCTCGTCCTCTACTAAAAATGATTGAAAGGTGGGAACTTGGGAAATAAAAAAAACGATAATCGTACCCTATTTATAGGAACTAGTGGCATGAAATTCAGTTTATTAGAAGTATTTATTACACGATAAGTAAACTTTTTTATTTTGTTTCTCTTATTCTTATTGCATGAATCACTTTCAAAGTACGAGAATTAAAGAACTAAATATATACATCGAAAATTTAACTACACGAATCTTGACGGATTACGGGAAGAAGATATCAAAGGGCCGCATCATCACAGCCGAAAAATCATCATTAAACAAAATTTTGATTGGTTGAATTATGGGCCAATCGAATGAAAATAAACCTGAATCAAGGAACACCCCACACCTGAACCGATGGCAACTCAACCAAGGTTAGATCAACAGTCACTCAACGATACTCTCTCTCAACCTTCTATGAAGATATCTCATCTGAAGGAATGTTACCTATCAAATTACAATGATGCATCATCTACCTAATAGAATTAACACTTCCTGAGGATAAAGGATCTCCCCGAAGGGTTCCCTCAAGGAAGCCAACTGAAGATCTATTAGTCGGCCGACGGACTTCTAGCCGACCGAGCGATAATCAAGCGACTAAGTCAGACAGATACAAATATGAAACAGTGTCAGTAACAATTATAAACACAAAAACGGCACTAATAGCGATTACCATGGTCAAAATATAATAGGATTGGTTACATGCATGTAAACATGCAATTACTCATAAATCACGTGTAACGTTACCATTTTATAAGGGACAAGCATGTAATTTACCAGACATTCTTTATAACATAAAAATAGGATGGTCATTTCTTCAGAATGGGCTACTGAATCAATTCAAAGTGAATTGGTAACTATTTGTTGCTTATTCTCTGATTTTCTCTCACACTCCCACTTTATTCTCTTTCATTCCTCTCATCCGACCAATGCTTTATCTCTTAGGCATGACTCGAATTACATTTTTTTAGCTGCATTGATCAACATAAATGAATTTTAGGAGAATTTTTTCTAGTTATCCCAAAAAAAAAAATTTCTATCAATTAGAAATCAACCGTACAAACAATATAAGCATTCTAAGTAAGATGAAATATGATCTCCATAAATACTATAATAGGCATATGTGTTTTCCATCTAAACATCTTGAAGAACCTATAGAAACTAATAAATATTAATCCAAGCTTTTATGTGAAATGGAATCTATCAGCGAATATTGACTTGAAAAAATATTGCATGAAGTGAATGTGTCCTGTGAGTAAATTGATAAGGTGGGTCTTGAAGGGAAAAGAAAATAAGCTATTTAAGAATATAAATCGACGGAACAGATTGATTTAACTCTTGATGAAATACCCAATGAAGTTATCCATGCCAATAAAACCAAGTATTAAGAAGTTGAAATCATGATTAGTGGCATTTTACCTTATAAGCAAGTAAGCCTAAAAGAGGATCTAGAAGACAAAAAATAATAATTAAATTAAAAAGAATTAATAAATATTTCATAAATCATCAACTTGCCAACTTAAGTGTCATCTTGAACTACAAAAACACAAGAAATTTATAATAATAAGCATTTTTATATATTCATCTAGCAATTCAAATTTCAAATCCTAGAAATAGATCCTTCCTTTCGTTTAGCACCAATAGCCATTATAAAAAATTAAAAAAATTAAATTTTGAGTAAAACTAATCAAAAAGAATGAGAAGATGTAATAAAAGAAAATATTAAAATAGTTACAAAGAAAACAAAATAATTAGTTAAAAGAAAATAAAAATTGTCAAAATGAAGCAAAGAATAAAAAAGGTTATGAAGAAATATTAGAAAGTTAAAAAAATATAACATTTTCGAAAATAAAAAATTTGATGAAAATAAATTTAAAAAAACTGTAAAAATAAATTAAAAAAAGTTTGAAGAAAATTTAAGAAAGTGCTAAAATAATTAAACAAAAAACCAATTAAAATGAAATAATACTCCATGTAAAAGAAAATAAACAAAAATAAAACTCTTACATGTCATCATTCAACAAGACTCAACAAGCTCGCAAAATATGATCTCCACTAGAATGGCAACACCAGATCTCCCTACTTGCTTGATCTACTATTGTTGGCTTGATTGTTCATCTGCCTACCTAACTAAAGCAACCTAAACCTTAAAAGTTCAATCCCTCTAATAATTTATTCCTTTAAAATATTTTTTAATGCAAGTTGTTAGAGACATCCGCTTTAAATACATCTCAAGGAAAAAAGCTTCAAAAAACATGCCTAAACAAAAAAGAGCCATAAACCTCACAACAAACAAATGTAAGCCTTAATGAAAAAAATAATGGCCGGATAGTGAGTCGTGCCCTAAGGTGGTCACTTTGAATGCCCTTCTAAAACACAATCAAAAATAAAATCTATTTTGCTTTTTGATCTTGGTTTATTCACAAAGAAATTCATAAAGCATTGCAACGAAAGTAAAATTGCATCAACAATTCAATGAATTTGTTAATAACGAAACCCAAAAATAAACCTGAATTTTAGAGATGGTTCCAAGTTGTAGGTGTAAGAAAATTAACCACTAAAACTTAGGCTAATTTGGATAGCTTCCTTTAAGGATGTTGTTCATCCATTAAGCCATTGCATGTTTATATGGTTTGCCCATTTTCTATTCTTTGAATCATCTCTCATATAGAACTAGGTTAAAAATAATCATTATTATTCATTAGGACACAAAATGTCATTTTAATAATTTCATTGTCTGCTTCATATCACTCATACGAAAAGCATGATTTAAAATTAATAAAAAATTATGTCATTTACAAGAACGTTGCTTATATATATAGGAAATATGTAAAATATAAATTAGAGGAAAGTGATGTATTTAAATCTGGAAAGGTTTTCTAAAAATTAGCTGTAGGAAAGCCAATGTAATACATAACTTTAAATTATATCAGAACTGAAGCATATATATTAAAAATTTTGGGAAGTTACTGTTGCATTCCAAACTTCAATATATCTAATTTGACTTTGTTTTATCAACCTACTGTCAAAATCATGGATTTCTCTCTTTCCATCTTCTTGGGAATTCACATCCAACATCTTATCACAGAGATCAATATGTCCTATTTGAGAATCCGTGTAAAGAATTGTTCACTCCTGAAGGTGGTATCATTGGGTTATTGTGTTATGAATACAATTTGACTTTTGAGGTGTACGTCATGAGATGGGTCTCAAACTGAAATGCACAAAAAACATCTCGAGACTTCAACAATAAGGCTAATACTTTTTTCTGTCTGAGGCATATACCTTGAGACTTTATTCAAGGCATATGAGGTGGCGTCTCCGTTATGTAAAAAATATATTTATATTATAAGATATTATACATTAGATCAAATATAGTTGATAAAACATCTTGAAAAAGTCGAGAGATAATTTAAATATGATTATTTTATTATATCATAATTTGTTATCTTACATTAAATTATACTGAACCTATGATTATTTGATTGGAGAATAAGAAGAAAAATGTAGAAATTAAAGAAGATATGAAAGATGCCAATGAGACGAACTCAGATAATGATTATTAGGTGATGAAAGTGAGGATGAGTTCATTATGATCCTCATGATGTATCTAAATTTTCTGTGAATGCTTTACTTGAATCTTATTTAAACTTTAATTTTATATTAATATTTAAGATTGAGATATATGGTTTAATTCTTTCTGAAAACAAACAAAAATAGTTTTATACCCAATTGTATAATATATTGAAAGCTATTTTAGTTAAATATATTATATTTCTAACATTGAAATAAATCTTGGTTGCCATTTGTCATTTTTTTGCATGCCTCATGCGTGGATGAATTCTACCATCTTCTTGTGTGATGAATTGAGAGAGGTTTTCTACGTTTCTTTGACATTTCAAAAACATTTTTGCAATCAATTTTATGAAATAGGTGATGGCTAAGTGATTTTCATTGTGTTGATGAGCCTTGAACCAAACTTATACAATACTTTGTCCGTTGTTCGCCACGGCATTCCCTTGTAGAATAGATATTGAGTTTAACAATTATGCCTCAAAATTTGAGAAGTTAAATTTCTTTAATTACGATTTTTAACAATGAATGCCATAAGTAGCAGGTAGTCTTAAGCAAACAATATTTCATTATATTTTATTGTGTCTTTATTTGAATTTCAATGAAAGTAAAAGAGTAAAAATGCAAAACTAGAACAACAATATTATATTTGCAAAGTACAAAACACTTTTATTAATACCTCATAAACTTGTATTTTAGTTGAAGTGTCCAAGGATTCTAGAAAAGGCACACTCCATGATTCAGCCATCCTCTGTTCAAAAAGAAAGGGATAACCTCAGGATACATCCACACACACTTGAATAATTTCAAGGATCCTCAGATTTTTACTTGTATGAATAAGCAAAATGACAAAGAATCATCAATATATATAATTGTTCCTTTTAAAGAAATAAGAGTGACTCAAGAAAAATCAATCAATCACAACATTCACAGATGACAGTATAATAAGGAAAATTTCGTCAACAATAGACTAGAACATGACGTGATGGTCCAAGGTTAATAACTACGTGTGTATGGCTCACAATGAAAGTAAAACTCCTAGCAGTTTAAATAAACCATAGCTTGACCACCAAGGCCACTCATGGAAGTCAGATTTGTTTTCCACAACTCTCAAGCCGGTATGGGCATTGTGATCCATAATGAAATTGGTGAACTTATTCTTGCAGCCGGCCAGCAAATGCAACATTGGGACAGCTCCTTAGTGGAAGTGGAAGCTATCCTCTCCCTTGAGAGAATTTTAAAACTTTAGATGCATGAGTGCAATGTTATGTATAATTAAAGGGGATAATATCAATGTTATTAACTGCTTCAGACAAAGCATGGAGCAACACAGTGGAGTCAACAACAAAGCAAAGAAGGACCTTGCCTTCTTAACTGCCTTTAGACAGGTTCTTTTCTTCTTTACTCATAGAAAGAGTAAGAAAGCAGACCATTTTGTGATCAACCTGCTTTGAATAGATCTTTTTTTGTTGAAAGATTTTGACTCTGATCCTTCCTTTTTTAATCCTTGGCGAGCACTTTAAGTCTTTTTCCATGCATATTAGCATAGTTTTGTACCTTTTGTAACTATTTTGATATAGTAATGTAAAATGCAACATTCGAGGATAAGACTAATAATGATGCTGATGATGTGTTAACTATGGTTTAAATAAACACAACGTTTTCAAAAAGGGATCACCACAAATGTCTTACGGGATTACACCAAAAGAATCGCATAACAACTCAAAGCATGATAAAATGACCTGGGAGCTTGCTCGAAAGGAAAGGCATAATAACGAGGCAGTAGGAATGATCTCATCAGTGCTGTTGTTATTCCCATTCTGCTCAAATAAAGGTAGCTTTATGCTGGTTCCATCAGGAAAGTGTACCACAATATCAGGAAACTTAGCAGCTGCCACGGAAGGAATAAGAGTTTTATTTGCTGGAGCAATCTGCATTTGTTCGTATCATTTAATCAACAAGATATTTACTGGAAAAATAAAACCATTCTCGATGAGCAATGGCAAAGAAAATCATACCATAACAAGAAAATCTCACACCTTTCCACTATTTTTCCGGATCTCTGAAAGATCTGCAAAATATCCTCTGCTTAATTCATCTTTTCTGCAACAAAGCAAACCAAGAACTGTTAAAATAGCAATTCATAAATCACTAAAAGTAAATGCCACACTGCAATTTTTTTATCGATAAAGGAAATGCATGACAACCTTGAGATGATTCTTTCAATCCCATAATTTTATCGAGACTTCCTTTTAGTTGCAATACTCATACGTATAGGAGCATAAAGTCAGAGAATTTTGAATATAAACATAGCCTAAGTCCCTACTTCATATGAAAGCAGCCACTAACAAAGTTTATAGCATGACCACATAAAACCCTACTATTTTAAGACATCTTCAACAAGCCAAACTTTATACATTTCTTAAGGGAGTGTCTCGAGGTGGATAAGGAAATCAAAACTGGTAATCTAGAATATGAGCTATCATATGCCACAAAGGCCAAGAGAGAAAACAAATAAAACGCAAACATGTCTTTTACCATTGTGATAATGCAATGTTAAAAGGGGAGTTGGAAGAGGGACAATGGCTGATTTGATGGCTGGAGTGGGGCGACAGGAAAAGTGGTGGGAAAGGCAAGGGAAGGTGTTGGGTGTTGGTGGGGGTGACCCGAACAGCAATGAGGGTTGCCTGGAGTGGTCGCCGGGATGTAGGTTGGTGGCCGAAGAGCTGGACAACAGGGTCGGGCAGTTTGGGAAGAGAGGACAGTGTGTTGATAAGTGGATGGGAGGGCTAGAAGCAAGAGGCAGCGCGAAAGGATGTGTTGGGGGTGGTCAGTGGCCAGGGAGAAGGGAACGAAAGGAATGGAGAAGTGGATTAAGGAAGATACAACACCACCTCAGAGTAGAATAAAGTCGAAGCACTGCCACCTCCTCGAATACAGCGCTAGAACAGGGATAACAGCTCCACAAAGGATTCTGAAATCAACATACAACAAAACTAAACCCTAACTCCAGAAAACAACAATTTAAAGACTCCCGCATTGGAAAAACAGAAAATGAAAGCTCCCTTAAGAAAATCACAGAAAAGGAGGGTGGGAGAAGGTACTGGCGGCATTGTCGCCCCCTCTATAGGCCACCCGATCTTGTTGGGGCCTAGACCGGCACCTATGCTAGATAGTTCAGCTAGCTAGCTCGTTCCTGCTTCCGTGTGGAAAAAATGCCGCCCCAGCGTCAATCTCCCAGAGTTAGGGGAGCTTTGACCTCATTCGTTGTAGCTTTTGGTTTTTATATTCAATCCTAATGACACATGAATCCCACTGTTGGTTGCATTGTCTCCCAAAGCATCAAAGATGTATTTTCTATTGGCAAGTGCAAGTCCCTATTGATCCGCTTGTCTTAGACTGTGGACCGCACATGTATTGTTGAATCTTCCCAAAATAACCCACGGTCATTCATTCCAGTTTGCAGTGAGAGTAGCCTGAGCCTTCCCTCCCGGTGGTGGAGCTAGTGGTACAGTGTCAACCGTGAGGCTCTAAGAAAATGTCGTAATTGTTTCGTGTCTAGAGTGAGTATCTCAATCCTCTCATCATGTCTCGTCATCAAAACTGGATCAACAAATGTTGTTATGCTAGTAAGGGCTTTTGTAATCTCAGGTTGCACTGAAGGAAATAGGATAATGCACTTCTCATCCTTGGTGAAAAAATATATGTTTTTGAATCCGACGTGTTGAGTCCTCCGATCAAAATGTCGCAATCGTCCCAAAAGAAGGTGGCAGGTATCCATAGAGACCACATCACATCACACCTGTTCCTGTCGCTGGTCCCCAATTGAGAACTCTGCTAAGTATCTTATGTCGATGTTGATTTGATTCTCCTTCTTCAGTCACATCAATAAATACAGCTGAGAATCTCTGAGCAGTGAGTCCAATTTCTCTATCATTTGTGTTTATATCACGTTCTTGCTGCTCTCACCGTCAATGATGAGATTACATATCTTTTTGTTCATTGTGCAGCAGGCGTAGAATATGTTGTGGTAAAGCCACTAAGAATCCCTCATGTCCTCAATCTGTAGGATCTGTTGAATCACGAGTGTCTCTCCTTCAATTGGGGGAAGTTGATACACCTAACCCTATTCCTTAGTTTTCTCCTTGTCGTTAATCTCTTCCACGACACCCTCATTTGTTAGTGTGACTACCCTGCTCGTAGGATAGCTGAAGGTTGTGTGGTCGTAGTCATGACATATGTAAAACTTCCTGCCTAATACAGTATTGGAGGAGTTACATTTCTCACGTTTCTTCCCGCTCTGATCCAAAGTGCTATTCCCTTGTCCGGGCTTGATATTGTCTCTGGTTACCCTTATCGGTCGTGGTTACTGTAGGTGGCTAACTGCCTGACGGTTGCTGCCTGAAGGATGGTTATTTTCTGCTCTGCTTCTGTTACCTCTCCACCTTCAGGGCTACTGTCTGAACATCTCCAAGTAACAAGTAAAACTGCAATTGTACCATATTGCTAATAGTTGGTTTCAGGCCCCTAGATAACGCGCTATGATGTGTTCCTCTAGCTCAACCAGATCACACCTCATCCGCAACTCATCAAATTGCTTCGTGAACTCCTCTACTGACAGATCTCTCTACTATAGGTACTGGGATGAGAGATTTCTTCTGCATCACTTTTTTTCATCTTCTCTCACTGGTAATCTTATCGATGTCTTTTTTTTCCTCTATCGTTGTAAGTTCTCCTACCATAAAGAGGCACTTTTCTTCAACTTGATAGCAGCTAATCTAATCATTCTATCCTGCGGCACATCATTGTACTCAACGATCCGATCAATAGATTACAGACAATCAATGAAGTCATCAGAATCCTCCATCAAACTCTAGCACTGCAGATCAACTTTGATGTTGAAGTCTTTGTTCTCCAAATGACATCTCTCGGAAATTCCCCCTTTGTGAGGGATTCAAATATCCCTCTCTAGGCCTTCTCTGATGTTGTATTCCGAAATGTTGTGGTCTGTCTTCTTCATCGTTGAAAGTCTCCCCATAAAAGGGATTCAAATTATCATTTCTTTTTCCCCTTTGACTCACCAGATCTCGGAAAAAAGGTAACATCTTACTATGTTAACTCTTTAATTTCTAGTAGCCTTTGTTGAAGACGACGAAGCTCTCGCCGTATCTCTTCCTGGATATGCTCGGGTATATTCCTCCTTCGTGGCATGGCTCGGTTTGGGATTTGGGAGGAAATTTGTTGGGTGGAGGTGAGAGAGAGCGTACGTCATTGCTTGTGCGTGCAGAAAAGCTATTTAGGTTTGTTGACTTAGAAAATCAACATAGGGGGATTTGGGGTTTGGGCTATGGTTTGGGAAAAGGAAGGAAAATTTTGGTGGAGGGGAAGACGGATGCTAGGAAACCCTAGAATAGAATCAAGGTTAGGCTAGCTCTAATTCCAAATGATATCGAAACTAATTTGGTAATCAATGGAAACATAAAAGCAAACTTTTATAAATGTACAAATAGGGCTACAAGATGACAAAGATGGAAAGATCAATATAACGACACTAAGCTCTGGCTAAGGCCAGATGAGAGGACCCCGGGGAGGAGGCATCGGCGGAGTAGTACGGGGATGGGGAAGAATTGGAGGCAGTGTGATAGGTTAAAAAAGAGGATTTTGAAGGAGGAACGATGACTGATTTGATGGTTAGAGGAGTGGGGCGATAAGGAAAGTGGTGGGAAAGGCAAGGAAAGGTGTTGGGTGCTGGTGGGGGTGACCCGGACAGCAAGGAGGGCTGCCTGGAGTGGTCGGCGTGATGTAGGTTAGTGGTTGAAGGGCTGAACAACAGGGTCCGGCAGCTGGGAAAAGAAGGAAAAAGAGTTGATAAGTGGATGGGAGGGCCGAAAGCGTGTGGCAGCGCAAGGAGGATGTGTTAGGCGTGGTCGGCAACTAGGGAGAAGGGAACGGAAGGATTGGAGAAGGGGATTAAGGAAGATATAACACCACCTCTGAGTATGATACAACTGGAGCACCAGCACCTCCTCGAATACAACCCTATAATAGGAAGAATAGCTCTACAAAGGAATCTGAAATCAACACATAGCAAAACTAAACCCTAAATTTAAAAAACAGCAATTTATAGACTCCCACAAGGAAAAACAGAAAAGGAAAGCTCCCACGATGAAAGCACAGAAAGGATGGTGGGAGAAGGGACTGACGGCATTGTCACTCCCCTATAGGCCGCCCGATCCATTTGGGGCCTGAATCGGTGCCTATGCTAGCCGGTTTAGCTGCTAACTCGTTCCTTATCCGCTGCGGGAAAAATATCGCACCTGTTAGATCATGTTTTATATATATATTAGATCAAAATCTTATGAACTCAAAGTATATGTAAAAGAGACATAGAGAAGTGTTGTGGGAAGGAAAAATATGCTACTAAACTTTAAGAGTACGAAATAAGGAGAATATATAACTAAGAATTTGAAACCCAACCCTTAGCTCTCACTAAAACCACCATTTAATCTAAGGTTTCTTATGCTACAGAAAGAATAACGAATAAGTTATACATATAATAAAAATACAGAAGAATATAGCAATAACAAAAGGGTTGTGTAGGCCAAAAACAGACCCAAACTAAGACTGGTAGTCGACCATCAAGTCTGAAGGATTCGCTCCGTCTCCTAGTAATGATCACCAAGTAGCTTTTTGATATGGGCTAATTAAGCAAGTCTCATGAGGGTGTTAGGCAAGTCCTTTATGAGCCTGAGAGTAGATTTCTTTCTTAAGTTGGCTGGAAAGTTCACTAGGACTCAACTGATAAGTGTGTAGAACCTGGCAAGCAAGCCTAATCAGAGCTTAGCTGGGAAGCTCCATTCTCAAACCCATGTGATGAGTTTGCATAAAGACAACCTAACAAGCTTCTCTCCTTGCCTTTCATTTGGGTGTGGGGTACCGAAGCATCATAGTTACTTGAATAGTGTATTGTAATGATTATTTCCCTAGAAATTAATGTCGTTGTTTATGAATAAATCTTATAATGCTCTTAATTAGACACCTCATTAAAGATAACAATTTTTCGCTATATATACCTTCAGATTTTGATCTTGGTCACTTTTTCA